ACACACACACACACACACGCACACACAGAGAGAGAGAGAGAGAGAGAGAGAGAGAGAGAGAGAGAGAGAGAGAGAGATTCTGTCTTCCCCTATACAGCGCATCCTGATAATTTGATAAATACTGAATACAAGCTATCTTTTCGGTCGGGTTCGACCAAAATGAGGGTGCGTTGTGTATGGGGGAAGACAGGACTGCCGGGGGGAGGGAGGCAGCGCGCTTATGTGTGTGTGTGTGTGTGTGTGTGTGTGTGTGTGTGTGAGAGAGAGAGAGAGAGAGAGAGAGAGAGAGAGTGAGAGATCCCGTCATTGCCGGGATCTCTCTCTCTCTCTCTCACACACACACACACCCACGCACACCCACACACACACACACGCACACACACACACACACACACACACGTGCACCTGCCCCTCGGCCCCCTCCTGTCTCACGCGCCCCCCCTCTCTCTCACGCGGGGCACCCCTGTCGTGAGGATTAAAAAAAGACGAAAAACCAAAGGATCGAATTCGACCGGAAAGATATCTTGTATACATTCATTATCAGGGTTCGTTGTGGACACCTAGACAGCGCGGCCGTGGCAGAAGCAGGCGCAGAAAAAAGAAAACAAGAAAAAAGAAGTCGCAGACGAGAAAAAAGATAAGATACCCCAGAGCCTAGCTCAGTGGGTACACCCATGCATGAACTGTTGAAATACAGACCAGGTGCTGTGTTCGAATCCAGATGATGGAACTTGACGAGTAAAACCAACTACCAATGAATTGCTTGGGGCCGGTCAGCTCAATGATAATATCTAAAGGCCGTCGCCCTTTTTTTAAAAAAAAAAAAAAAAGAAAAAAAAAAAAAAAAAAAAAAAAGATAAATAAAAACCCGTTTTTGCAAATGATCGAACCGGTAGGCCGTCCAACGCACAGTTTACTGTTTTTCTTGCAGTTTCAAACTGGTCTTCGCCCAAGCTTGCAGTGGACTGTTCCTTTTTTTTTTTTTTTTGCAGTGGACTGTTCTTCCTTCCTGCGAATTTCAAACTGTGCAGCAGTTATGTCGGAACACATACCACACTGCCCCATGATCTATATCTGGGACGAGGTGAGAGAATGGCAGGGGGGGGGAAGGGGAACGGGTAGAGGCACTAGACGCTGGCGTTGCAACAACCTTTAGCTGATGCCAACTGGGAAGCGACTTGAGCACCCAGACAATGCCAGGGGGGTCAGGGCAAACTCGACATTCCGTAGCAACAGAGTTGAAGCAGCAGGCTACCGTCTTGACCCGAATAGAACGCCCGGTCATTATCGCTGTACCTGGACTGCAAGTTGCACCGAATACGGCTATAATGACCGGGCGTTCTCTTCAGGTGAAGACGGTAGGAAGTGCCGCCTCAGTGCAGTGGCTGCCCACAGTGTTATAGCCCAACATCGTGATGATGCCATGTCAACAAGTATATGTCCCAAAGAAATAAAATAAAGGGAAATGCATTTCGCCATTTTCATATCGATACCGCTCTTCTCTGAGAGGCTGAGAGCTATTAACCTAGACTAGCCTACATAACCTTGTTTCCATTCGGAAGGAAAACAGACCCCCCAAAACCTATTACTATGGCCCTCTATGGGTGACAAATAAGGGCCTCCACGCCCCTGTTACACCGGGGGCAAGGTCCCACTTGCACGGATTAAGAGACTCTGGCCGTTGATCTTTGCTATCTACGGTCAATATCGCTTAATTCGTGTAAGTGGGACCTAGCCCCGGAGTGCACTTGAGAAGTTGAGATAGGCAGAGCAGGCGAGACTTCCAGCTCGAGCTCGTCTTTTGCTCGACAGTACCACTGCAACACTACAGATATCCGTTAACCTGCGTGTGACCATTTGCATACCCATCTAAGTACTATACCATTAACTCAAGGATTAAGAATTTAAGAGTCCGACCCTGAGCAACCTCGGGCGAGTCCAATCACAAACTTTGCCGTTTTTTGGGTCAAATCTGGACAGTCTCGACTCCGAGAAAAAGGCCCAGCTAGTAATAATAATATTATAATATACACAAATGCCTTAAAAATAAAATAGGTTAAGATTTAGGAAGCGGGCCCAGTCACCGGCCTATGATTTACACTACCTAAATTCCCACAAATATATATACAAAAAAAACATAGGAGTACAAAAAGAGTCCGACAGACTGTCTTCATTGATGTGTCGGCAACAGCTTTCCCAAGCAAAACGAGCCTATAAATTTCGACATCCTAAATCAAAGAGCAGAAACCAAGCCCACTTCCCACAAATATATATACACAAAATCGATGTTAAGAAACGCTCCGCCTGTGTTAGTTGCAGCGTATGCAAGAGCTCTGAGCTCTCCAAAGCACATCGATCGATCTTTTATCCTGTTCAAAAAAATTGAGCGTCGGCCGGCAAATGGCTGCCGCTGCTAGCAATCAGTGCGCACTGCGCAGGCCCGAAAAAGCGAAGAGAAAATGGCCCGTGAGCTTGTGCTTCGCCGCTGCAACGTGCCCAATCTGGAAATCGGACACAAATAACTGTCCTATGTGTCTCCGTGAACCTGGTCTGCAAAGCAACAGTGGTGAGTCGCCTACACTTCTTCACTGTCTCGCACCAATGGGAAAGGGCCGGTCAGTAATACTCAGTATTCCTTTTTTTTTTTTTCTTTTTTTTTAATTTAATATCGTGTGGCCCGATGGACCACGGATCAGATATTAAACTGACCAGAACAGATACTACACTTGATCTTAGCCAAAAGGCCGAGAAAGGTATGTACTCAGTATTCCTCAGTTTACGGACTATTTTTTTCATCTAGTTAGCACACACGGCACTACTAGTGGTGTCTGATCATATCAGCACCCCTAGTAGCCGCTCGGGCTGTTTCTTGGAAAAAAAAAAAAAAAAAGCACACACTGCATGGTCCAACAGATGGGTGCCACCGAAAAAAGTGGGCCCACAGATGGCCGGCCAATCTGGGATTCTGGGCCCAGCGATCTCCTCGGAGTAGCAGGCCGGGCGAGCGTGAGCTGTCATCGGCAAGTGGTCGGCTATGGAGGGGCCCAAGCAGCCCAAGCAGCCCAAGCAGCCCAAGCAGCCCAAGCAGCAACGCTGCCGAAATAAGGAATTCGATGGTCCAAGGCTCCAGGGGGACTGAGGTGCCCACAGTGTTTGCGACCAATGGCAGGAGTCCGCTGACCTTGGTGAGTTGAAGATGTGGTAGCCTTTCTGCTGCACACTGGCATGTTTTACACACACATGGTCGTCAAACCTCGGTCTCGATTTGGATGCCTGCTATTCTGCCGTAGGGAGGTGTGAGGGGAATGTAGCGAGGGGAGAACCCCCGGAGAGTCCCTGAGGTGCTAATCGCAAAATCTGTTGCCTTTCTCGGTTCTAAAGTGTCCTAACTAGATGGAAAAATAGTCCGTAAACTGAGCAATACTGACCGGCCCTTCCCCATTGAGCAATCGCACTCGTGATATATAAATTGTTACCTGAAGAGTGAGTCCCAAATTCTGACAAGACGGTTGCGCATCTCTCTCTCTCTCTCTCTCTCTCTCTCTCTCTCTCTCTCTCTCTCTCTCTCTCTCTCTCTCTCTCTCTCTCTCTCTCTCTC